AACTTTTTCAATTATTTTTTATTTTTTATTTGTCTACATTTCTCATAAAAAATAATAATAATAATCTATAGTCCATTTGAATCTTTTTCTATTTTTTAAAAAATAAAAAATAAAAAAATTTAAGAGTATAACCATAAATTAACATGTCCACAGCAGAAGCTAATAATCAGAAGCAAAGGGTGAGCAGCTTCTCAGAATTAGTTTTTTTGAGTTAAAATAAGCTATTAGAATCAGAAGCTGTTTGAAATAAGTTTAACCAAACAGTCTAAAATAACTTTTTCAAAGTTAAAAGTCATAAGTTGGCTCTGAAAAACTGAAACAAACACCCCCATTGAGATGCAATGGCGACTCTAAAAAATTCTGTAGGTGGGGCAACTCGAAAAATTTTAACTCCACGAATTTTATTATTTACATTTGATATACATTTTAATTTTTTTTTTAACCAAGAGAGAGAGAAGACGACGGAAGGAAAGAAGAACGCCGAAAGGAGAATGACGTAGAGAGATGGAAGGAAGAGACGAACTCACGGTAGAGAGACTCGGCGAAGAGTCAGGTTTGGAGACTCAAAACGAAAAATAACCACAAAAAGAAAGAAAAAATCATTGGAGATTTCAATTGGAAAATTAGGGTTTTCATTGAGAACCTAAAAAATTAGGTTTTGTTCTTGATTTTTAATTCTTCATTCTTGTTTGACTTTTGGAGTAGCGTGGTTGTGGTTTTTATGGATTTTGTTGGCTTATATTTTTTTGTTGATTTTTATTATTATTATTTTTCATTTCATGTCGTTTCCTTTCATGTTTTTGTGGATGTGGATTTGCAAGGTTTTCCAACTTCTCAATTTTGTTTCCACTCAATAATACAATAATTTGTATAAAGTGTATCTTTGCTGTATAATTATAAATATAAAAAATATACATGTATATATTTTAGTTCTCTCTCTACTGAGTAGTTTTTATAACATTTTCCTATACATAAAATTGTATATGCCAATGGAACTGATGACTGGTGGAGCTCTTGTATGAATATTATTATAATATTAAAATAATGGAGTATATGCATAATTATATATATATGCTTGAATGTGTGCTTTGTTTTTTGTTTTTTTTTTTTCACTTGATGAGTTTCAGTACTAATTAGTTTCTGTCGGTAGATGACTGTGTGTGTTTATGTTTATATTGGGTATGTATCCATAAAAATTGGTAAGAGCAAGTGATTCAAATGGGAAATCACAGTAGTATTAGATGCAATTTTATATGTTTTGCTTATAAATACAAGTTATAGGTGCTATCACAAGTGTGATTACAAAGATTTAATCTCTATAAAACAAAATACAATCAAAATAAATAAAATCAATGAATACACTTGTAAAAAGAAATAGTTGACTAAGCACTGTTTTATTTGGTCAGAAAGCCCTCAGAATATTTTAGAGTTTTCCACATTAATTGCTGTGTGTTAGATTGTTGGATTCTATTTTTCTTTCAGTTGTGCTTTGAAGAATAACATTAGTCATGTTGTTAGATTTTACCTTTTTACTTGCTACCATTAGTTGGGTATTTCTTCTTTGAGCTGTCTATGTTTATTGTTAGTTGTTGTTGTCCCAAATCTGTTTTTCATTTAGTGTGTGGAGTCAATTCTTGTGTTACTTAATATATACTTTTTTGGTTTTTCCTATTTTTTGTAGATGTATTTTTTTAGAAAACTTTTATTTTTGCAGTGAGTTGAAAAACTAGCTTGAATGGTTACAGCATGTGAGTTGAAAAAGTAGCTTCAATGGTTTGAAAAATTATGGTTCTAAAACAGGAGCACATTGATACTTATCAATGATCAATGAACATCATGTTGAGTCAAAATAACAAGTAAAGTTTGATGGGAGAAACTAATTTTAAGTATCAATATATACATTACTAGATCATGTTATGGAAGTAAATTTATTTTTCATATTTTTTTTATTTTCATTTATTTTTTTTATTTTTCAAAGCAATTTTTTTAATTTTAAAATACATCTAACATAAATATACTTCAAAACTATAATATTTGTGGAAAAAAATCTTTAAAAAATTCATTAAATATTAAAAAATATAAAACAATATAAGGATTCAATATATTTTTCGTATTTTTAAATATTTATTATTTTTTAAAATATTTTTTATAAATATTTTATTTTGTAGATACAAAGTACATCTAAAAAAGTAAAAAAAATATTTAAAATTTTAAAAAATTTTACTAAAAACAAAAAAATATTAAAAAAATAAAAACTAAAACATTGGTTAGAATCCAGTGTGTTTCTTATCAATCATAACCAATATCTTCTCTCTCTTCACATGGGTGGCCACCCAACACATATATGGAGACTTGCGCAGTCAAGGATACCAATTTGGATCTTAATACTCCCAGTTTGTTTTGGGTGATAGAGAGGATATTGGAATTGTTAATACTAAGGTATTAATAATAGTCTTGTTTGTTTTGGAAGAAGACCTTGGGACTATTAGTCCCTTGGTATTACTAATACCCTTGGAGAGGAGATTGGTAAAGAAGAGGTAGAGATGATATTAGAAAAATAGTGAGTGGATTAGAAATTTTTTTATTTTTTTATTTTTTATATATGGGAAATTGTTTTTAAAATATAATTTTTAATTTTTTATATTTTTTTATTTGTTTTATTATTTTATATAAAAATAATTTAACAATTCCTCACTACTAATCCCCTCACTATCAATCCCCTCACTATCAATCCATTCCATTCTATCTCCCAAAACAAACGGGCCTTAATTCTCGACAATGGCAATGACCTTCAACTTGAAAGTATTATAATACTGCCTCCGTCCCATTTCGAGGAGACTTGCGCTGTCAAGTATTTTTTTTAATTATATTTTTTTAATATTTTAAATATTTTTTTATTTTTAGATAAATATAACATAAATACATTTAAAAAAATATAATATTTGTAAATTTTTTAAAAAAAAATCACTAAATATCAAAAATATAAAAAAAAAATTACGAAAATTCAATTCATTTTTCATATTCTTGTATATTTATTAATTTTTTAAAATATTTTTTTACAAATATTTTACTTTTTAGATACATCTAAATAAGATGC